CATGATGGGAGTAGGCAATCGGGGTTGGGGAATTGGCAGGAAGGTTATATTGCTCACAGTGAGTGGCTCTCGGATTGAGTTGGGAAGGGCGTTGGGGCAAGGTTGAGACTGGCAATCGCGCCAACTATCGTCGTTGTTGTGGGCGTGAGCTTGGTCTCTGGGGTCAAGTGCGTGTGGGAGCGCGGAGCAGTCTATACTGGCAGCAGGTGTTTCAGAATCGGGCGGGACTGGGGAAGACGTTGGACTGGGCTCTCGAACTGATGACTGAGATGAACTGGATGATTGTATTGTTCTGACCTCGTCTCTGCCTACTGAATGCTACTGTACTCCTACGAACAAATAGATAACAACACGAACTAGATAAGATACCAGATTAGATATCAGACTCCTAGAGCCCCTGCTCCAACGTGGTGTCTATGGATCCTGCAAGGACAACCTTATCGGTAGGCTGTCAGTGGAGTAATGGATCTTGACCTAATGTCACGAAGCGGCAGAGACGGAGTGACTAGCGGAGCAGGAAAGCGGAGTGACTAAGCAAGGCAGTGAGGCGGAGTGACTAAGCAGGTCAGTGAGGCGGAGCGACTAAGCGGAGCGGAGGCAAACTGGTCCCAGATAATGACAGAGATATATGGGACCAGGCTGTGGAGGGTTGGCTATATATACATAATCCGGTCTGCAAGAAACAACAATGTAATACTGTACAGTTCAGGGGCAAGGAAGGTGGTGGAAGCCGGTAGAAAGAGAAGATGGGTCAGGTGGATCAGTAATCGATGGGGGTTTGACAGTGATGGGATGATGTATCGTACAAGTAAAGGCGTCGAGACGGTGAGAAGAGGAAAATGATAGGGGCTGCATACTTTATGACAAGAATGAAATTGAGAAATCAAACTAATACTCACAAAACGTGGAGGCATCAGCCTTGAGACCCTCGATCTCACGATTCCTTCTAAGTGCCCTAGGGGGCACCACTGGTGCTTTAGTGACCAGAGGAGGAAAGAGAGTTTCAGAAGTATTGGAAGGGGGGACGGTTGATGGATTCTCGGAAAGAACGCCTTGACCGTGTAGTGAGGCAAAGGGATCTAGATCCCTGGAAGGCACCAAACGCATGATGGCGCTTCCCTCGCGAAAACGCAAACAAAACGGAATGGGAATGGCGGGGAATTGTTCAAGATTGAGGACGCCCTGTGAATCCAATTAATAAGATAAAAAGGATGGGAGAAAAAGATGTACTTACTGAACCAGGAGAACGGTGTTCAGGGGGAATTCCCCATTGCTGCTCTAAATCATCCCTCAAGAAGGCAGGGAGACTGTGAGACAAGTGCTCAGCAGTGAGAATGATATGTTCCGCAAACAAGGGACAATTCGCTCGGCCCATCCAGAAGTCGTGAAGATAAAGCTAAAAAGAAGGAGGTATTAAATGAAAATCAGAAACGAAAGAGGAAGTGAAAGACGCACCAAGAAAGGTGCCGCCTCCTCAAAAACGTTATATATTCCCTTGGATTCTGTTGGAGCTAGATTTTCAAGTAAAACTTGTAACGTTCGAACGGCCATTTGGGCCGAACAGAACAAGTCCAGGCCTGATGCTACGGACAAGGGACGTGAAGTCCCAATAGAAAAACAAAAAGGGACCAGTGCGCGAGGATAAGAGAATGCTGGAAAAGTGCTGGACCCGTCGTAATCCGGAGTATGTTGAGGACTCAAGAGCGGAGGAAGATAATCGCCAGCTTGAAGATGCCGAAAGACTGGGCTATTGAAAAACAATGGTAGCATAGACTTGATTTGAGTGCTCGCTAAAAGGACTTGCGCCTCTAATAAAGAGGTTGGTAAACGCGTGGAAGAGGCTGAAGCTCGAGTTTGACTCGAGGTTGAAGCCATTTTGAATTAATGAGATGAGAGAAGAAAGTAAAAGGGAAGAAAACGGACTTCAACAAAAAATTGTTGAACCTCATGCCCAAAACCAAATAAATGTACACACTGATTCAGTGTGTACGTCAGAGCAGCTCTCCGTGAAATGGAAGCTCGTTCTGTGACTAGATGATGAAAAGATTGTGAAATAAAATTTCAAAATGTGATACGAATACCAAAAAAGTATTCAATTCAAATTGAGCACTAAACTGTTATGATTTGTAGCAGGCGTGTGAATAAATGGATAAGATAAGCACTAGAAACCCATTTGAGGGCATCCAAATTGATTGGAAAGCACAGAGAAGTAGAGATCCAAACCCAGTGAATTACATTAAAAGGAGATATAGTCTTGTCGAATCAATCTAATAACAGATTGGGTATTCTTTCCCTGTACAAAACTACGAATGACCAAGGACGGTCAAATTCTTTAGTTTGGGGGGGATGACACGCCTAAATTTTGGCTAGACGTCTATGCTGTGAATTGTGACATTTTCACGTATAGATTTGTATCGAGAGGACTGTAATTGAGACCCAGATTGACAGTCAAAGTCAATACTGAATCAGTCTAATAAGTTGAAGGGACCATATACCCATACTACCACAAGTTGGTTAGTTTACCCATCCCCGATACTACCTTCGGATAGCAGTCTACCTGTTTGTCAAGCAGGATTATACCAGACTCGGACTACATCCGAAGGATGACCATTCATGTGTGACATACCAAGGGTATTCTTATTGGACCTTACACTGGCAGGAGTTTGGAAGAACTTACTCAAGTGACCATGAGCCGAGGATTGACTCGAAATGACTTTCTAGAACTCAGGAATTATCAAATACTCCTTCTAGAATGAGATCATGCATTAATCTAAAAGACTGCAATTTAGTCTAATAGACCAATCAGGTTGCATGGTTGAGGAAAATGACTAGAAGAGCGATCGAAGTACTGCGAGGCTCCAAAGACATATCAAATGAATGTCAAAGAGTCCTGACGTAGAAAATATTGAAGAATGCAATTAAATGAATACTATGTGTAACTCCCTTGATAGAGTATAGGCACAATGGGTGTCTATTGAAAGAGAGAAGCAATTAGTTTAATCCAGATGAATCAGATTGATAGGATTAGAATCGAGGAGAGCTGATTTGCCTCCGGACGAGGTGACAAACGATCGAAGTAAGTGTTGAACAGCAATGACAGTTGAACACCATTTGAGTCATCCTCCAAAAACAATTAAATTAAATGAATATTGAAGTACCTACCTATGTTTGGAGGTATACTAGAATCTTGGAACCAATATGGACCAAATAAGGACATGTAGATTCAAATTAAATGGTATCTGACTGAGTGTAGAAGTTTCCTTGCGGTTCCGAATGTTTATTGTATTAAATTAATTGTACTATGCGACTCTATATTCTGTATGTATAAATAGCGATCCGATGTATCTGGAATACAAGTGATTTTGGGACGACGTTGCAGTGCTAATCCATAAAAAGGAAAGACACACTCCCGCCAGACTGAAACCTCTTCGCTAGCAGCCATTCGGGCCCGGCACTTGTGAGTATAGGAACGTTGTGTTCTGCTCCTTGTGACTGCGAGAAGTATATCCAGTTGTTGGGTATTCTTCGAACTTAGGATCAGTCGTTGGTCTTAAGGGCAAATCACGCTGTGTAGTTGTGCCAGCACATAGTTCTAGCCCTCTGCAGGGGTCTGTGTGTTTCGGTTTTAATTTACTTTGATTCAAACCCCCAATTCTTGATATACCTATATCAATATAAGCAAAGCACAAATCGTGCTGAATCTACCTTAATCAAAGGAATATATCGAATCCTTAGAACGATTCAAATTGATTGATCAAAGCTTCTTACTTAGCTCTCAAAGCTTTGCAGAACCTTTGCCAACGCTACCCCTTGCTATTAAATAAATTTGATAGCAGTGAACTTGCATATTGTGTATTAGATTGGTTGGTTGGAGTGCCCATTAGATTCCTTTCTTTCTCCTTCACACAAAAACGAGGCAAGCTCGTTATTGGGGTTGGGGAATTGGCAAGAAGGTGATATTTTCTACAGTAGTTGGGTTCTGAACTGAATTGGAAAGCGCGTGGGGGCAAGGCTGAGAGTCACAGTGGTACCAGCTATCACCGATATTGTGGGCGTGGTGCTGATCTCTGGGGTCAAGTGTGTGTTGGAGAGCAGAGCAGTCTGTTGTAGTAGTATGATCAGAAAGATCTGCGGGTGTAGAAGACGTGATATATGCGGATCCTGCAAGGACAACCTTATTGGTAGGCTGTCAGTGCAGTAATGGATCTTGACCTAATGTCACGAAGCGGCAGAGGTGGAGCGACTAACAAAGCAGGAAAGCGGAATGACTAAGCGGAGCGGTGAGGTGGAGCAACTGGGCAAGACAACAAGGCGGAGCGACTAAGCAGAACGAAGGCAGGCTGGTCCCAGATAATGACAGAGATATATTGAGTATCGTAGTCATAGGTAATAATAAGTAAGCACATACCTGGTCCCAGTGACAGAGAGGTCAAGATAAGGGACCAGGCTGTAAGGGACTGGCTTTATATACATAATCCGATCTGCGAGAAATGACAATGTAATACTGTACAGTTTAGGAACCAGGAAGGTGGCGGAAGCCCATAGAAGGAGAAGGGTAACAGGTGGATCAGTAATCAATGGGATTTGACAGTGATGTAATCGTACAAGTAAGGGCGTCGAGACAGTGAGAAAAGGAAAATGATAGGGGCTACATACTTCATGACAGATGGGGGTGGGTTTCATTGCCCAAGCAAACTGTTCTTATTTTATCCAAGGCTTCCGCTGCAGTGCAATGTCAGTATTTTTTTATACCTCTAATGTACTATATCTTACCAGCTTTGCTTGCATTGTAATCTTTGTCCATTTTTCTGCGCTATAGATAGATGGGGCCTAAATTACAAATAGTTGCTCGCTCTGTTGCTTATCTTTTGCTCAATATTTTATCTGCTTCTTCAGCGCCCCTTCTCTGTAGATGACCAGCTGTCACTTTCAATACAAATGTGATCCACTTGCATGCTGCTTGGTCCGGTTGCTGTATTTCCGATACTTTCGATCTTTTCATGCTTCTGCAAATGCTCTTTATGACTTTGCTTTTCCTTGTGTCACCTGCTCAACTTTTCCTGTACCCAATTGCTTATATTCTTGCACCTTCCGATCCTCTTAACTTAAGCATTTTTGACCCATCAACTTGTGCTTTTTGATTCGCTTGCTTTGCCGCTGCCTTTGTGTCTATCATTTTGTGATTGTCAATTTCTCATTTTCTCTAGTCCATCTCTCTTGCGCACCATTGGTATTACCTCGAAAAATCCTCATTCCATGGTTCCCAAGTCTTTGAGTGGTGGTGTAACTACTGCTTCTGATGTTGACAGTGCTGGTGACTCTTTTGAGGCCCATGCTTATAAGGATTTGCCTGCCATTGCAGGTGAAGATGGTGATGAATCTTATATTGAATGGTCTGTGTCTCCACCTCCTCGGGCTCCTTTACCCCTTGAGTCTCTGTGCGTAGCTTCCCATGACCCAAGCCTTGCCTTCCTCTTATCCCCTTTCTACAGTAGTGGTGAACCTTGTGCATCAGATGGCAATGGTGAAATCTCCCACTGCCGTTCTGTATCACCTATGTTTGTGCTTTCTTTATGTCTATTCTTATTTTGTTTAATTTTCTTCTCAGTTCTTCACCCAAGGAATTTGTACCTGTTTTGGATGATAGACTTTATTCTAACCGCCTTCACATGGGCACCCCTGAACAACACCATCCTTCATCGCCAAGATCTTATAGGTGCGTATTTTCAATTTTTGTTCTATTTCTATTGTCAATCTTAGGTTTTTAGCCCAATCGACATATCTGATGACGACTTTCCTGTGCTTCCCTCCTCTGAAACTCATGCAATCAAGTCTCCTAAGCCTTTTGTGCAATCTAAGCACATTTTGGGAAAAGCCCGGTTTGTGACCAATTCCTTACTGTTCATTTCCTCTTAATTCCAACATATTTTCTTTGTAGTCTATTGGCAGTGCCCAATTCCTCGCCTCCTACTGCTCGCTCTGTGGGAATAGATGCGGCTCCTCCTCAGGACTTGGCTTCCATTGTGATCAACGGTTGCACTTACTACGCTTCAGATGATCCACTGTTCAAAAAGATTGTTTTGCCTCCCACACTAGGGCACGAGGATTCTGCTGATGAGTCCATTAGTGGCTCTCTTGATTTGTGCTACCCACCAGAGGATGTCCCCGACCCTGTGACTGCACCACCTCGACCCCTCCATGACACATCTGAAGATTATGACGACATGGACATTGATTTACCTGAAGATTCCGCAGCGTACCTGCCCTGCGCACGCCCTCTCCTGATTTGCCTGCTAATCCTATGGATGGTTGGTCGCCCATGAAATCAACGGCTGCTTCTTCCGGTGGCAAGCCTCATGGTGCAGCGTATTCCTTTTCCCAAAATGCCAAACTCCACCTGCGTATTCCCTTCCAAATCTGCACGCTCTGTGTCTCCTCTTAAAGGCTCTTTTGGAGTGTCTCCTCCTCCCCCGCGTTCTTCAACATTTTCCCCTTCTCATTCCGTTTCTGGTATATCCACTGCAAATACTTCTCCATTGAAGAATTCTACCCATGGGTCGGTTTCTTTAAGATCCAAAGCCTCTGAAAGCAATCACTTTCATCCGTTCAACCGATACACTCCCAGTGACTCTTCTTCAATTGTGATTCCTGGTTCTTGTCCTACCAAATCCCCGTCAAGGCTGTCTGCAGTGGGCAAAAAGTACCGAGATGATATCATCAATCAGGCTCTCAGTAACATTGCTTCGTGTCAAGTCCACGCCTCGGGCCTCCATTCCGCCGCTCGGTACTCCGAAGATCCACTGTTTATTGTAATCTCACTCTTATTGTTCTTTCTCGCTACACATACCTTTTCGTTCTAGTCCCTCCTTATTGTCTTTTACTTTACCCTGCAGGTACTACCCGTATAGCTCCTAGTAGTTAGTCTGGCGCTCCGCACCGCGGCGCCGTTCCGTAGATGTAAATACTGCCTGTACGCTACTGTAGTTCCTCAGTTTAATTATCAACTTAGATCTCCCTTCCCAACTTAGCTCTTCTCTAAGTCCTCAGGCTCAACACCTTGAAGTATGTTCTACTCGACCTTAGGACTTAAACGTTCTTTGGTTCGCTCCTCGTCACCGGCGTTACCGCCGCTCCGACTTGGCTGCTACTCAGCTCCTCCCTTTTATACTCTCGATCTCCGGGGACTAACGGCGTAACGGCGGTGTTGTTAATAACTTCACCACTGTCCCACTCGACCTCCCGTATTTATACACCTTGTGGCCTCTGGCACGGTTACACGGTGTACATGATCTTAACAGTATAATTAAACTCAATCCGTTAACGTCGTACTGACATATCATTTTTTATGCCTCCGAAAACCCGAGCTCAATCTAGAGCTAACTCCGAAGAAAATACTTTCTTCACCACAGCCCAATCATTTGCTCCATTTTCCAACTCTATTTCTGCCATTGGTCAACCACATTGCCGAAATCGCGGTTTCAGTCCAGCCACAGTTCCTACTATGTCGACTCTTCCTGAAGCCATGGAAGAAGAACAACAATTCGAATACAGTACTCTGTATACCAGCGACGGACAACCTGTCCAAGTCTTGACTCCTCGCCATGGACAACCCCCTGTGGTCGCTCCGGCTCGGGGCCAGTCTACTACTCGAATTGAGTCTCCCATCCTCCAAGCCATAGCTCGTCGTACGGGAAAACACCCTCAACGTCGTGCTGCTTCAGAATCTCCTCGTGACCCACCTCCTCACTTCGATTTGGACACTGGTGATCACGATGATCAAGACCCTCCTGTTGACCCCGACGATCTGGGCGCCGACAACAATCATGACGACCTGGATGACGATTCCGGCGGTTTACCGCGTGGTGAGCCTGGTGGTCCTGGTGGTCCCGGCGGTCCTGGTGGACCTGGTGGACCCCGTTCTCCTATCTCTCCTGACATCCCCAATGAGCAACGTGCTATGTTGGAACTCCTCTCGGGGTTCAAGGGCTCCATTGAGACCCTTGGTACCATTCTCACCGCTCTCAGCCGTCCCTCTGACAACTCTGAATCTAAGAGCAAGGTCAAGGAGCCAGAGGTATTCGACGGTTCGGACCCCTGAAAACTTAAGACGTTCTTCGTCAATCTCGCCCTGGTCTTCAATGACCGTCCAAAGTATTTCACCGACCAACAGAAAGTGAACTACACCCTTTCCTATCTCAGTGGGTCAGCCAAAGAATGGTTTGTCCCTGATATCCTCGATCCGGATCTCGACTTGCTGCCGGCCTGGACGTCGTCCTTCAAGGCCCTTGTAAAGGAGCTACAGGACAATTTCGGTGTTTATGACGCCCAAGGCGAGGCCGAAGATTCTCTCGGTAATCTGAAGATGAAGGAAACCGAGAATATCCGGAAGTACAACATCCGGTTCAACACCCTGGCTGCTAGCACCAACTGGGATTCTGCCGCCCTGAAATGGGCTTATGGACGAGGCCTAGCTGAACACATCAAGGACGAAATGGCGTGTTTGCCCGAACCGGCGACGCTCGCCGATTATCGTCAGGAGGTTCTTCGTATTGACAATCATTATTGGAAACGCGAGGAAACTAGAAAGCGTGAGGCTGGTAAGCCTTTTGTTGCTCGGAACCCAAAGAAGGGTTCCCCGGACTTTAAGACTGGTTCTACTAACCCGCAAAACAACTCTCAGCCATCTGGCTCTTCGGTGCCGTTCACGCCGAAGCCTAAACCCTTCTCTGGTGGTAAGCCTAACAACAATGGTAAGCCCCAGAACTCTTCGAATTCCGGCCAATCCGGCGGTCAGCGCCCTGCGTTCAACCATCTTGGTGCAGATGGGAAAGTCCTTCCCTCCGAGAAGGAAAGAAGGATGAAGAACAATCTTTGTCTCTTCTGCGGTGGTAAGCATCAGATTGCTGACTGCAATAAGCGTAAGGCCCGAGAGTCGAAGGGCCGTGCTGCCGAGGTTGAAGAAACCCCCGAAGCAACCATTGAGGTTGTTGAAGAGGAATCGGAAAACTAGTCTGCAGCTCTTGTTCCCCGGTACGAAATGGGAGCTGCATTGATCAGGTTCGTACCTCACCTGGGGAATTATATCTCAACGTGTCCGCTCTTTCTTCCATTGAACAATCTCTTGTAATATCTTTAACTACTGAATTTCCTTTATCCAATTCGGCCGCGCCGGCCAAACCTATCTCTGCTCTTCTCAAATTTCCTACTCTTGTTGATTCTGGTTCTACTGACTCTTTCATCGATACTTGTTATGTTTCTCAAAATTCCATTCCTACGACCAAAATCTCTCCTGTTAATCTTTGTCTTTTTGATGGTTCATTATCTTCTAAACCCATTACTGATATGGTGAACATCGCCGTTCGGTTCCCTTCTGGCAAGCTGCTTCTATTGCCCTTTTATGTTACTCATTTAGATTCATCTTGTAAAGCAGTATTAGGTTACAGTTTCTTATCCCGCTACAATCCGTTGATTGACTGGGCATCTCGAAACATTACGTTCCGTAACACTTCACACTTTGATTCTCCACAGACGTCTGTGCCTTCTGCCACCAACACCGTTGATGCAAAGGTCGCTGTTCCGCTACTGGAACCTTCGCCGTCAGTTTTACCAACAATTCTGGAGACCCCTCCTGGGGACTCACTTCGCTCTCGCTCCTGCTCTCAGACATTATGGGCCAAGCCCCTTTCGTCTAAATTCCCTTTTGAACCCATCTACTCTTATCTTACGGTCTCTCAATTCGCTGCTCAACTGGAAACTCCTGAGGTCAACATTGCACTCGTCAGTGCTGCAGTCTTTAATAGGGCTTGCAAGGATGCTGGTATGGAACCTATTCTTCTTCGTGCTATCCACTCAGAGGTCGCGGCCCGCGCCGCTGACCGCTCCTCCACCGCTCCTACTGTCCCTCCACTTCCTCATTCTATCCCAGCAGAGTATGCTGAGTTTGCAGACGTCTTTGACGAGATTGCTGCAGACGCACTTCCTGAACACAGACCTTACGACCTGAAGATTGACTTGGAAGAAGGCGCTTCGCCGCCTCTCGGTCGAATTTATCCTTTGTCTGAAAAGGAGTTAGTCGCCCTTAAAGACTTTATTGACAAACAACTGGCCACTGGCGCCATCACCCCATCTTCCTCGCCTCACGGCGCTCCAGTACTCTTCGTTCCCAAGAAGGACAGGAAACTTTGGCTTTGTGTGGACTTCCGCGGTCTCAACTGCATCACCAAGAAGGACTGCTATCCCCTGCCATTGATCTCGGACCTCCTTGACACTCTGAAACGAGCTAAAATCTACACCAAATTGGACCTCGCTCACGCTTATCATCTAGTCAGAATAGCAGAAGGTGACGAATGGAAAACCACCTTTCGGACCCGCTACGGCTCTTACAAATGGAAGGTTATGCCGTTCGGCCTTACGAACACACCTGCTGCTTTCCAATGTTTTGTTAATGACATTTTCTCTGACATGCTAGATGTTTGTGTCATCGTCTATCTCGACGATATTCTGATCTACTCCGACACGCCGGAGGAACACCAAGAACACATCAAGGAAGTTCTTCGGCGGTTATGGAAACATCGGCTTTACGCCAATCCTGACAAATGCGAGTTCAATATGGATACTGTTGAGTACTTGGGTTACATTCTTTCTCCTAACGGATTGACCATGTCCAAAGAGAAAGTACAGACCATTCTGAAATGGCCTGTCCCTAGGAAGGTTAAGGACATTCAGTCCTTTTTGGGTTTCGCAAACTTCTATCGTCGTTTTATTTATAATTATAGTGATATCGTTGTGCCGATGACTCGGCTCACCCGGAAGGGTGCTCCCTGGACCTGGGACAATAATTGTCAAGAGGCCTTCGAAAAGCTCAAAATTGCTTTTACTTCTGTGCCTATTCTCGCTCACTGGGAACCCAATCGTCCGATTATCATGGAAACTGACGCTTCCGATTACGCCATTGTGGCGATCCTCTCCATACAGACTGTTGACAGTGAAATTCACCCTTTAGCTTTCCTTTCCAGAACTCTTCAGGCTGCGGAGCTCAACTACGACACACACGACAAAGAGCTCCTTGCCATCTTTGAAGCTTTCAAAGCTTGGCGCCATTACCTGGAAGGTTCCAGCAATCCAGTGGACGTCGTCACCGATCACAAAAATCTTGAGTATTTTTCTACTACCAAAATTCTCACCCGTCGACAGGTCCATTGGTCAGAGTATCTCCACCAATTCAACATGGTAATTTGCTTCCGACCGGGGAAACTCGGCGAGAAACCTGATTTGATAACTAGACGCTGGGATGTCTACCCAAAAGAGGGGGATATCGGCTACG